AAAAAAAAAAAAAAAAAAAAAAAAAAAAAAAAAAAAAAAAGCAGGTGACATTTAGAAATGAAAGACAGTAGCCATGTAAATAATTTGAAGGAAATAAGAAAAAAAATGAGCACTGAAGCATGTAGCTAGGATTCTTTGCCTTGAGTGAGAAAGTAGCACTACTTGTTTTTTTTTTTTCAGAGATGTTGCCTAGATTGAAGTGCAGTAGCAAAATCATTGCTCACTGCAGCCTTGAACTCGGCTGAAGCGATCCTTCTGCTTTGGCTTCCCAAGAAGCTGGCGTAGCATTATTTTTTTAATTCACCCCTACAGTAAGAGGAAGAAAAGCAAAGTGAAGGTCCAGATTCCCTTTGTGCCCTTTCCTTGCTATTTTGTTCAACTAAAATATTTAGGGTGATAGAAGTCTCTTATATTTTGATAGTGGTCCTGATTAGACCATAATTATTTCCCATTTGTGAAAGCTCATTGACCTGTACACCTAAAAAGAGTGAATTTTACCATATGTAAATTATGCTTCAGTAAACCTGACTCAAAACAAAAAAAAAAAAGCAAAAATACAAGGGTGCTGAGCAGAACCTCAGAAGGAAAGGCACAGTCCACCACATTTCACACACAAGAAGATACAATCCAGTTCTTACCCTTCTCTTTCTCAGGCTTTGTAACTTCACACTCAGGCCGAACCTGCTGCTCCTGCAGTCCTCTCAGAGGGGCTAACTCCTCCACCAGCATTTTTTGTTTCTTTGCCTGGTCTGGGTCCTAGGGACAATTAGGTATATGGAAGCATAATTAGATATATGTGGGTTTAGGAAACTGCTGTTCAGAAAACCACCTAGATGTTAAAAAAGAGAACAAAGAGAAACCCCAGAGATGCAAAGAAAAGGTCATGTGGAATCTGGTGCACATTCAGTTTTCTCCCAGCAAGGGCCAGGAAAGGTTGAGGTAAGACCTATAGAAATGAATAGCTAGACTGGAAAAAAACGGAATCAAAGCTTAGTAATTCTCCTTCTGCTGAAGAGCCCATGTCTACCTGTCTGGCCAGAGATCTCAATTCCTGCATTCCTGAAAAAGAGCACATCTGACCCTTACCACCTGTTGTCCTGTTTTTCCAAGATCCAGCTGCAAATCCTCCAGAACAACAACCACGTCCTCCCCGCTCTCTGGGTGATGCTCATGCACCCGGGCCTGGAGCTCCTCAGGCAGGATGGTCAGAAACTGCTCCAGTACCAGCAGCCCCAGGATCTGCCCCTTGGTATGGGTCTCGGGCTGTAGCCACTGGTGACAGAGCTCCCTGAGCCGACTTAGTCCTTCTCGAGGTCCTGTGGTCTCTTCATAATGCAACTGCCTCAACTGTTTGCACAATGGCTCCTGTCCAAGGCCTTTACTGTTTCTTTGCAGCTTGAATCCCTCTTTCCAAGTAGGGTGGTGATCCTCCCTCACTACCTGAAGCCCCTCCTTCTTCAGATTCAGGGGAGCCAGGGAATGGGTACTCACCAATGCTGTCGCCATCCCCAGCTTCAGACTGCTCTCCCTGTTTTGAAAACTTTATTTCGACTGTATCTTCAGGGATACTCCTAAAAATATAGTAACATGAATAATAGAAACAGTAATAGTACTGCTAACAAGAACAATAACATTTTCTTGGGTTTATACATTTCCTATTATCCATTTTTTCTCTCTGAAACAACCATTTCTAAACATACATACAGAAGGAAAAAACTATTTTACAGAAGAATAACAGCTAATGTAGAAGGAATAATAGATTTGAAAAATCACCATTTTGTAGCCCTCAAAATAACTGAAGCTGGGCACTGTGGCTCTCACTTATCATCTCAGCACTTTGGGAGGTTGAGGCGGGAAGACTGCTTAAGCCCAGGAGTTTGAGGCCAGCCTGGGCTACATAGTGACACCCGGTCTCCACAAAAACAAAAAACAAAAAACAACTGGCTAGGCACAGTGGCATACACCTGTAATCACAGCTACTTGGGAGGCTGAGGAGGGAGAATTGCTTTAGCCCAAGAGTTTGAGTTCAGCCTGGGCAATCATAGCAACATCTATATCAAAATAGAAAGAAAAAGAAACGGAAAGAAAATAGACAAGTGAAAGTCAGACAAGGAAATAGGAAAAGTTTTTTCAGACAGAGAAAAAGAGCACAAAGCTGTTGGAAGTTCAGTACAGTAGTTATTTATGGCGGGGAAAAGGTTATATGGAGTTGGAATCCTGGAAAATATCTACATGTAAGAAAGACAAGTGAGATAAAACTGGAAAGGTAGGAGGAGAATAAAGGCAATAGTATTCAGGAGGCCAAGGAGGTCTATTTCTCTAAATGTGGAATGGTGGGAAGAGCCTGGGCCTTAGACAGGCCTGGGTTCCAATCAAGCCCTGTCACTTACATGGTGTGACCCGGGCAATTTACTGATCTTTTTGGACTTAGTTTACTCATTTGTAAAATGAAGATAATACCTATTTCACAGAAGTTTTGAGGTAAATGAGATAATTCTAAAGAATACAAGGAATTCACTGATTGTAAGTGAAATGATATGAACGCAGTTTTCAAGAGATGATAGATTAATCTAAGACCTGGCATAGATGCTTGATTCAAAAACAAAGACGTAATTGGTGGCCTCTGTGAAGGTAATTTTGGTAGTGAGAATAGCTAGCCTGTCATAGGAAGTGAGAAAATGGACAGAGTGAGCATAAATTACAAATTTCAAAAAAGGAATACCTTGAATGGAACAAGAAAGACAGGGTAGGTAGAAATTAGAAAGGGCTAATTAGAGTTTAAGTATTATTTGTGACTTCAATTACTGTCATTATGCTGATGATTTCCTTATTCTTCACGTCTGATATCTCGAGTGCCAGACTTGAATTTCCTTCTGCCTATTTGGGACCAAGATACCCTATAGAAGCCTCTCAAATCCAACATGTCAAAAATGAACTCAGACAGTTCCCTATCATCCTCTGGAGCAGGCCCTTGGTATGTGGGGATTTAGCATTCTTGATTTTGACTATGCTTGAGTGACCCTATAGATCAGTGACATACCATCTGTCATCTGCTGATACATGCCTTTGAATCAATGTGCATGTGGTAAGTGGGAGAACAGGGAAAGGCTCACTTAACCGGTGGCTTAGCCTTCAAATATTATGCTGTTATGTATTCCTGAACGTATACGTAGTAATACTTCCCAGCTGATAATTATTTTTCTTGGTCAAAATAAATTTAAACTTTAAAAAGCCAGTTCCTGGAATTCTTTTTTTTTTTTTTTTTTTTTTTTGAGACGGAGTTTCACTCTTGTTACCCAGGCTGGAGTGCAATGGCGCGATCTCGGCTCACCGCAACCTCCGCCTCCTGGGTTCAGGCAATTCTCCTGCCTCAGTCTCCTGAGTAGCTGGGATTACAGGCACGCGCCACCATGCCCAGCTAATTTTTTGTAGTTTTATAGAGACGGGGTTTCACCATGTTGACCAGGATGGTCTCGATCTCTTGACCTCGTGATCCACCCGCCTCGGCCTCCCAAAGTGCTGGGATTACAGGCTTGAGCCACCGCGCCCGGCCTGGAATTCTTAATAGAAGTAAAAAAGTCCAAGAAGGCGATGATTATTGGCCAGAAAATAAAAGATTGGTATGGTAATGATCAATATCATGTGTTAACTGGGCCACAGGGTGCTCAGATATTTGGTCAACATTATTCTGGATGTTTCTGTGAAGGTGTTTTGGATGAGATTAACATTTAAATTGGTGAACTGTAGGCTAAAACCAAATGCCCTTGATAATGTTGGTGGGCCTCATCCAAGCAGTTAAAAGTCTGACTAGAACAAAAAGGCTGACTCCCCCCTGCATAAGAGAATTCTTCCTGTCTGAAATGCTTCAAACTGAATCATTAGCTTTTTTCTTTTCTTTTATTTTTTTTTATTTAAAAATTAGACGGGTTCCACCATGTTGGTCAGGCTGGTCTTGAACTCCCGACCTCAGGTGATCCACCCGCCTTGGCCTCCAAAGTGCTTGGATTACAGGAGTGAGCCACCACTTTTTTCTTGCCATCAGACTTGGAACTAAAACAGCTCTTCGTGAACCTCAAGCCTATGGCCTTTGGTCAGGAACTACACCATCAGCTCTCTTGGTTCTCAGGCCTTTAGGCTTGAACTGGAACTAAACCATTTGCTTTCCTGAATCTCCAGCTTGAAAACTCATTCTGAAAATACTGGGACTTTCCAGCCTCCGTAATGACCTACGTTAATTCCTTGTAATAAATCTCTTTCTAGATCGCTTCTTTACCGATATAGATATCCTACTTACACCAACATTAATATGAATACAGGCATATGTGTGTGTGTGTGTGTGTGTGTGTGTGTGTGTATAATTTGCATTACTTGCATATATACATACACCTGTACTCGTATTTTATGTATATACCTGTATTTGTATTATTTTATGTGTACAGGTATCTATACCAATATTGCTATATATCTATGCCATATACATATATATATGCACATACTGGTATCTATATCAGGGCTGGTATATATGTAAATAAATGTATGGCATGACACTGATATATATATATATGTGTGTGTGTGTGTGTGTGTATATATATATATATATATATATACATATATATGGTATGATTTTGTTTTTGTTTTTGTTTTTGAAACAGGTCTCCCCCTGTTGCCCAGGCTGGAGTGCAGTGGCTCACTATAACCTTCGCCTCCCAGGATTTGGTGATTCTCCTGCCTCAGCCTCCCAAGTAGCTGGGATTACAGGTACCTGCCACCAAGCTCAACTAATTTTTGTATTTTTAGTAGAGACGGTGTTTCACTATATTGGCCAGGCTGGTTCGAATTCCTGACCTCAAGTGATCCATCCTCCTCGGCCTTCCAAAGTGCTGGGATTACCGGCATTGAGCCACTGTGCCTGACTGGGTATGATGCTGAATTAGTGAGTTCATTTCTATAATGTGATTAAATACATAAAACACAATATGTAATAAATAATTTGATAAACTGTTTTGAGAGGAGCTCCAACTATCCAGCTATTTGAGCCAGAAAACTGACCATTGCTTCCTTCTTTCATATCTCATGTATCTGATAAATCAAGTTCTATTGATTCTATTGCTTAAATTTCTCTCAAATCAATCAGTTCTCAACCCCTTTGCCATCATCTTTTCCTACCAGACTACTGTGACAGACTGGTCTGACACACCAATCTATTTTCCACAGGCAAACAGTGATCATTCTAAGGGGATATGAAATATTATTATGTCCCTGCTATGCCTGTTACATATAATGGCTCATTATTACCCTTAGGATCAAGTTCAAATTTAAACCATTTAATATGGTTTAAATTGTTTTTTGATCTAATGAACTACTTTATTTCCTCAAATTTGCAATACTCCTTCTTGCTCCTTGGCCCTTCCACAGCTTATTCCTTCTGCCTGGACCCACCCTCCAGCCCTCCAATTTTCTTCTTGTTAATGCCTACTCACACATCATGTCTCAGCATAATAAAACAGTCAGCTAGGACAACCATACTACATGTTTCACATATATTAATTATTTAATCCTCACGCAACCCTATAAAAAATACTATTCCTAATTTCATCGTGCAGAGAAGGAAATTGAGACGTGGAGAGCTGAAGAACTTACACGAGGTCCCAAAATCCAACCTCAGATCTATCCTCCAATATCTCTTGCACCCACAGGCCCCAAACTTTGGATTTATTTTTGCCTTTTCTCTTACTGTCACATCCTACATCTGACCCAGTAGCAAATATTACTGGCTCTATTTTCAAAGTAGATCAATACTCTGACCAGTGGCTCAAGATATCCTTATCTCCCACCTGAATGACTTGCAATTTTAAAAAATTACTCTTAAGTTTCCCTGATTCCATTCTTGCCCACTTACAATCTATTATCATCATGAGTCTCCAGGTAAAGATGCTTTAAAACAGAAGTCAGATTATGCTTTCTTCTGCTCAAAATCCTCCAAAAACACACACCAAAAAAAGACAAAATTCCTTACACGATACAGTGCTCATTTAGTCTACACTCTTCCTCTCCACATCCCAATCTCCCTGACATCATTCCGTACAAAGGTCGCCTTTGTTCACTGCTCCAGCCACTCTGGTCTCCCCGTTATTCCTCAAATTCAAGCAAGCTCCTGCTTTAGGACTTCTGCACTTGCTATTCCCTCTACCTAGAAAGTTCCTGCCCGCAAAAGCCACTTAGGTCTTTCCACCCACCTTCTTCAGATTTCTGCTCAAATATTACCTTCTCGGTGACGCCCACCTTTAATACCTACTTAAAATTGCGCTCAACGGATGAAAAATATGCAACAGAAGGTTGTACTCGGTTAACTAGGTCCACAGCTTCATCACTCTAGGCCCCAGGACCGCCACCTCCGCCGCGGATCCCGCCCCCGCGGTCGAGGGAACGTCCTCAGCATCCGCGGGGAACCAGCTGCTCCCCAAACCCATAGGCCGCAGTTCTGCCCCAGCCCGGAGCCCGACTTGAGTCCGCCTGCCTGGCCAAGGGGCCGCAGAAAGGCCAAACGCTCTGAAACAGCGTCTTAGCGCATCGCCGAGGGTCAGCTGTAGCTCTTCGGAGCACTGTCTTCTCCGCTCTAGGAACGCTGGAGGACCGCGACTCGATGGTGCCGCCGCTTAGGCCTCGCAGAAAAGGGCTAAGTTGGGTCCAGCCTGCTGAGAGGTCCGATGGCTGGTAGGGTCATTTCCTTGTGAGCTGAGATTGTTGGTTTTTCTTTTCTCATTTTAAAGCCAATGTTTATTTCATTCATGTAAAAACAGGCCAGCTCCGTTGAGTGTTAATCACAGCCAGCGTTTTCACTTTGCTCACATAAATAAAACACATACGTGGCCATTTTTTCCCCAATTAAAAAATTCATCGGGCCGGGCGCGGTGGCTCAAGCCTGTAATCCCAGCACTTTGGGAGGCCGAGGCGGGTGGATCACGAGGTCAAGAGATCGAGACCATCCTGGTCAACATGGTGAAACCCCGTCTCTACTAAAAATACAAAAAATCAGCTGGGCATGGTGGCACGTGCCTGTAATCCCAGCTACTCAGGAGGCTGAGGCAGGAGAATTGCCTGAACCCAGGAGGCGGAGGTTGCGGTGAGCCGAGATCGCCCCATTGCACTCCAGCCTGGGTAACATGAGTGAAACTCCGTCTCAAAAAAAAAAAAAAAAAAAAAAATTCATCATTGGAAAAAATAATTGTTAAAGTATTTTGAAAATTAAACAGTGGACATATGTTTGATTGAAAGGTTTAAGGTAATAAGAAATTTAGTCTATTACTGTGAGAGAAAATAAATCAACAACATTTTGCAATGAATGTAGGCTTCAGGGTGAATAAAAGCAACATATATGATTTTATCAAAATAAATTCTACAACAGAGAACAGAAATAGTCTGTCTTGCCCACAGTATCACAAACTGGGTTTTTATAGTTTTTGTATAAGATAAACTCTTTGAACACTTACACATTGCTAGTGGGAATATAAATTAGTTCTGCCACCGTGGAAAGCAATTTGGAAATTTCTTAAAGAACTTGAAACAGAACTTTTATTCCACCCAGCAATTCCATAATTGGGTATACGTCCAGAGGAATATAAACTGTTCTACCATAAAGACCCATGCATGCTTATGTTCATCACAGCATTTTTCACAATAGCAGAGACATGGAATCAACCTAGATCCACATCAGTGGTGGACTGGATAAAGAAAATATGGTACGTACACCTTGGAATATCATGCAGCTATAAGAATGAGATCACGACCTTTGCAGCAACATGATGCAGCTGGAGGCCATTTATCCTAAGCCAATTAACAGGAAGAGAAAACCAAATACTGCATGTTCTACTTATAAGGGGGTGCTAAACATTGAGTAGACATGGACACAAACGGGGACAACGGACACAAGGACTTACTTGAGGGTGGAAGGTGAATGGAAAGTGAAGATTGAAAAGCGTACTATGCTACCACCTGGGTGACAAAATCATTCATACACCAAACCCCAGCACCATGCACTTTATTCATGTAACAAACTTGCATATGTACCCACTGAACCTAAAACAAAAGTTGGAAGAAAGAAAAAAAAAATGAACTCTTTAAAAAATCTTAACAAACTTTTCTGTTTAACTTATCAGTTGATAGAAACTTTGAAATATTAAATATACAAACCATTGTACTATGACATGTAATTTATTCAGTGTTTCAAGCATTGAAATTATCATAACAGAAAAGAAAAAACAACCAGTTTTATCACAAGCAGTTATCTTTGCTTCTTGGGTGTCTGAATGTATGTTTGAAAGCATATTTTTAAAGTAAAAATTAAATATAAACTTTTCATTAGGCCAACAAATCTAGTCAGCATAAATGTGTTACTAATTAGAAGTCAATATTCTTTCTTGAAGAGAAAACCCGTATATCTTATTTTTAATATCTAGAAAGCACTTTTTTCAAAAATTATATAAGGGATAGACACAAAGAAAATTTAAATAGAAAGGAAATACTATATCCTATTATTTAGTCCCTCTCTAAAACTTCCTACCCTGAGGCCGGGCGCGGTGGCTCAAGCCTGTAATCCCAGCACTTTGGGAGGCCGAGGCGGGTGGATCACGAGGTCAAGAGATCGAGACCATCCTGGTCAACACGGTGAAACCCCGTCTCTACTAAAAAACTACAAAAAATCAGCTGGGCATGGTGGCGCGTGCCTGTAATCCCAGCTACTCAGCCTCCTGAGTAGCTG